TGTATTTCTGTATAACATCAATGAGCTATCTAAAAATAAAATTAAGAAAAAGCAATGCCAAACTGGACAATCAGTGGCTCATCCCTGTAATCCTAGCTACTCAGGAGGGTGATAGCTGAGGAGCAAGGTTGGAAACCAGCCAGCCAAAGCAGTAAATCTATGAAACTCTTATCACCAATTAACCAGCAGTGGAGCCAGAAGTGGAGCTGTGGTTTAAGTGGTAGTGCTCTAGTCCGGAACAAAAAAGAACTAAGGGGGGGGGGGGGAGTAGGGAAGGGAAGGGAGGAGAGGGGAAGGGAGGGGAGAGAAGAGAAGAGAGAGAAGAGAGGGAAGGAGGGAAGGAGAGAGAGAAGGAAGGAGGGAAGGAGAGAAGGGAGGAAGGAAGGAAACAAGCAAGGAAGGAATGAAGGAAGGTTGGTTGGTTCACTTACAAATGTCATCAAAAAGAATTAAATACTTAAGAATAGATCTACGTAATGTAAACAAATTTATTAAAACAAAATAGATAAATGCTTTTTTAGGGTTGAAAGGGGAGTGGCTAATAAGGAGTCGCTGACAGAGCTGGGAAGGTAGCTTAGTGGTAGAGCGCTTGCCTTGCATGCATGAGGCCCTGCGTTCAATTCCTCAGCACCACATGAGCAGAAAAAGCCGGAAGTGGTACTGTCTCAAGTGCTAGAGCACTAGCCTTGAGCTGAAGAGCTGAGGGACAGCGTCCAGGCCCAGAGTTCAGTCCCCATGACCGACAAAAAAAAAAAAAAAAACCTATATGGTCTACTTGAGGGTTGGTAAAAATGTTTCAAAATAGGATTGTGTTGATAGCTACTAATACTAAAAATGTTAAAGCAATTATATACTTTGAATATTGTACATTATGGTATATAACCTATATCTTGCTGGGTGCCAGTGGTTCATGCCTGTAATCCTACTAAGGAGGCTGAGATCAGAGGATCATAGTTCAAAGCCAGCCCAGGCAGGAAAGTTTATGAGACTCTTATCTCTAATTAACCCCCAGAAAACCCAGAAGTGATGCTGTGGCTCAAAGTAGTAGAGCACTAGCCTTGAGCGATAAAGCTCAGGGAGAGCATCCAGACCCTGAGTTCAAGCCCCACAACAACAACAAAAAAAGATATCATCTGTATAACCATCAAATATATGAAAATACTTATTTTTACAACATGGTACTAGTAGACCTCTGCAGCAATCCAGTGTACTAACATGGATAAGGTTACCGTGTGGGTAAAGAAGGTAAAAAGATCTTATAAAAATCTTTGATCTAGCTGGCCAAGGTGCCTCATGCATATAATCAAGGATTCTGAGATTATAAGGATTAAGGCTCAAAGGAAGGCCAGACAAAATGTTTGTGACATCCCATCTGAACAGAAAGGCTGGACATGTGGTCACACCCGGCTAAAACAGAAGAGTAACCAGGAGAATTGTGGTACAGGCCAACCTAGGCAAAAAAAAAAATGAGACCCTGTTGTCAAAAATAACCAAACCAAAAAGGGTCAGTAGGCATGGTTCAAATGGTAATACACCTTCTCAGCAAAATACCAGGCTCAGAGTTCAAACTGTATACCATGAAAGAGGTAAAAGAAAAAGAAATCTTTGATCCTTTGATATAGATGTGAAGGATGAAGAAGTAACAAGTATCAAAAATGACTCTGCACTACTCATGTACTCATTTCCCCTACGTCTGTCAAAAGTTGTTCCAACAGGCCCACAAAGATGATCTTTGAAAGGGATCACAAATGTAACAGAAGCTTACCACAATGGGGGAAGGAAGGACTCATTCCTGGAGGTGCGCAAAAGAGAGAAAAGAACAGCAAAAGGCAAAGCTTAGGAACAGTACCAGGAAGACCAACTGTGCAGGCCTGATGATGACATAATACTGCAGGCAAAGGAAGCAATAGGAGTTGCTTAAATGAATAGAGAAAATCAGTCTTAGCCTTGGAAATCATGTACAAAATAAACTAGGAAGGAGGATGGCTGGAAGCTGAGGACCGATAAAAAAGACCCCCAAAAAAGACCACGAGAGAAGTCTACACCCATGGCAAAGACTGCTGCTTAAAGACAGCGCAGGAGCCGGGCGCCGGAGGCTCACGCCTGTAATCCTAGCTACTCAGGAAGCTGAGATCTCAGGATCACGGTTCAAAGCCAGCCCGGGCAAGAAAGTTCATGAAACTCTTATCTCCAATAAACCACCAGGAAACCAGAAGTGGCTCTGTGGCTCAAGTGGTAGAGTGCTAGCCTTGAGCTGAAGAGCTGAGGGACAGCGCTCAGGCCCAGAGCTCAAGCCCCACGACAGACAAAAAAAAAAAAGACTGCAGGCCAAAAACTGCAAGAAATGACCACCAAAGTAAGGCACCAGGGACTCACTCATAATCCTAGCTATTCAAGGTACTGAGAACTAGAGGATCACACTTCCAAACCAGCCCCAGAAGAAAATAACCAGCAAAAAGCCACTTGAGGTATAGCTCAAGTGATGAGTGCCAACACTGAACAAGAATGATGAGCAAGAGAAAAAGAAAACACCTAACTTCAAGCTCCTCTTATGCAAAAAAAGAAAAAAAAAAGGAAGGGAGGAAGAGAGGAAGGGAGGCAGGCAAGCAGTGGAGAAACTCAGCTGTGTAACCACTCTGCAACAAACAGCAAACAAGCAACCCTGACAGCAGTAGAAGCTTCAAGTGTTCTGCTCTTGCCACCCTCACTTACCCTGGCCCAGGAGAGTTCTTAGCTTCCTTAATGTCATTGAGAGAACCAAACTTTGGGCTCACCTCTATGGAAATTGCACCACAGAGGCTCCTTTCTCCATAATATCCTTAGCCTCAAAAAAATTTTTTACATCACTGATTGCTAGCTAGCCAAGCCTGCATTGTCACTTTTTGCCAATCCTGTTTATAACAAACCAGAATGTCCTAATATCAAGTACATTTCAGAATTTTTTTAACCATCCTCTGTTTAGTCCATTCAGACTCAAATTTAAGACTTTCCAGATATTTTGTGCATATTTGCTTGCAACTCGAATTCATTAAGATATAAAAAAGACAGTACAAATTACCAGCTGTAGCTGTAATCCCTTTGTATTTAATACACCATTGTGGTGGATACACCTAACACACCTGAAATCCAAACACAGCTAAACTTACCTAAAATATGGTGGCATTATGGCCTCTGGCGCTCGCCCTCGCTCGCCCTTGTGCTCTCGCACGCGCTCTCTCTCTCTCTCTCTCCCTCTCTCTCTGCCATAATAAATAACTCAGCATAAGCACCTATCATGAGCTAGGTACTTAGTGAGCAATGTACATTAACATCTACTTTTCAAAGCAACCTTACAAAGTTGGTATTCTTCTCGTTTTACACATGAAGTGGTTGATGAACAAAGAACTTCCTCCAAGAACACCACTGCATATCTAGTGGAGCAAGGTGTGGCACTTTATGCATATAATCCCCAAACTCAAGGCTAAGGAAGGGGGATTGCAAATTGTAGGTCTTCAGCTTGTGATAAAGAGAAGGACTCTGCCTCAAAGAAAAAAACTAAACAGATGCAAGTGGCTCACACCTGTAATCCTAGCTACTCAAGAGGCTAAGATCTAAAAATCATGATTTGAAGCCAGTAGAGCTGTTACTCAAGTGGTAGAGCCCCAGCCCGGTGTGACAAACCTAAAGGAATTGGCTAGGCCCTGAATTCTTACCAAAAAAAAAAAAAGAGGGGAGGGGCGCAATAGCAAAAAACAAATGCTTTGGTAGAAGGCCTCCAAAAATTAAACACTTTTAACAAGTTGTTTTTTTCAAGTGAGCACTACCAATCTTCAACATACTTCATATACTAAGAGCTTCTTCAAAACAGCAATTACGACTTATTCATTTTTACATTTGTGCTTAACAGATTATAGGTGCTTAATAAATGTGTTCCAGAATTAAACATCTGCTCTAGTACTGAGCTGAGCTCTTAATAAGCGATTCTAAGCTGGGCATTGGTACTTATACCTGTAATCCTAGCTACTTAGGAGGCTGAGATCTGAGGATTCCAGTTCAAGGCAAGAAACTCCAAGACATTTATTTCCAATTAATCACCAAAATGCCAGAAGTGGAGCTGTGGCTCAAGTGGTAGAGTACCAGCCGCCAGCAAAAAGAGCTCAGGGACAACACACACATACATATGCGCGCGCACACGCGCGTAGGCGCAGGCACGCATGCACACACGCACACGCGCGCACACACACACACACACACTATTCCACCCTTCAGGGACCTTTTATAATAAGCTTATTTCAGCACTGCAACTGAAAAAGAAGTAGCTTCATCAGTATTCCTGGAGCATCCTAACATCCAACCCTCTTTTCCGAGGCTTTTCCACCCTATGCGACATATAGATAATATATCTGCCTCCTCCAGGCTAGAACTCAAGGGCAGGATCCTCCTCATTATATTACCACCGAGAATGATCCAAAGTGCTCAAAATTGATGGACTGAAGTGGAGTCGCTCAAGACTAACTTTCTAAGATAAAACAGACGGGGCGAGGGAGGTCCTGATGCTTTTAACTGAACATTCTTCAGAATTAAATAGTGTGTGGGGAGGGGTGGGGGGGAGACTTCTCCCTGAAGCAGCTTTAACAACTCCAACAGTGATACCTAAGGCTGAGAGAAAGCCATTACTTAGCCAGAATAAAA